TTTGCTCCCCAAGTCTTACAGAAGTGGGGGCTCTGATTCCTGTGGTTCTCAGCACTATGTTTTCCCAATGTTCCCTTTTGCTTTTTCAATCTTCCATCCCCTGCTTAAGCAATTCCCCATGTTCTCTCTGTTGAAAAAAAAGCCAGTCCTTCCTACTGGTTGATAATTGTGACTCATTCCTCAAGCACCTAGTTCAACTTTGTCCTCCGTTGGTAGGAATTCTTTGTGAGAGTAATGAAAATTTTCATTTTAGCAAGATCCAAACCATATGTGACCAGGCCTATTAGATGGGCTTTCCAGGGTCGAAAATACAGTGAAAAAAGGAAACCGTGATGATAAACCATGGCCCTGAGGACCCTAGCACATTGCTATGATTATGCATATAAACTCTAGAGTAGAGGCAGTCATATCAACTGAGGGGCTAGCACAATAATCCAGGAGACGGATAGTTGGTGGCTCTGTCCAGGTGGTGGTGGAGAAAGATGTGAAGAGAGGTTAATTCTAAATGCATTTTGAAGCCAATCTGACAAAGAGGTTTGCTGAGGATTAGATGGAAGGTGAGAGGAGTCAAAGATCACCCCAGGGCTTTTGACCTAAGCAGCTGGAAGGATGGAGTGTCCATTGGTTGAGTTGGGGAAGGTATTAGGTGGATAAAGTTTCGGGAGAAATCCATGAGTTGAAGTATGCACAGTTGACTTTGAAATGTCACTAGGTGTCCAAGTGCAAATGATTCCAAATCTTTGCTCTTTGACTTGATTTATCACTTCCCCCTAGAATGAGGAAGCCTGATGTCAGTCCCTTTCAACTCTCATTTCAGCATCTCTGGTGTGCAGTAGAGTGCCTGGACCACAATCATCTCAGTAAATAGCATTTGAGTGAATGGATGAAAAAAAATTGTATACTGTAGAGGTTCCAATTGAGGCCAAAGTTTGTCTTATTCAAGCTCCATCTCCACGCTTGTTTTCTAGTCAGGAAGAGAATAACCATTTGGTTCTGTAAACTGCAGCTTCTAGTGTTCATTGGAAACCCATCTTACTAGCTCATCACTTGTAAGTTGAAGTCCTTCTTCCCCGAAGTAGAGAGAAACCTCTCAGAGAGAGACACAGGAGTTTTCTGTCCTTCTTTTATAAGTGTGGCCCAGCCTGGATTCTGCTGGAGACTTATTCAGTCAGAAGACAGGGCTTTGATGACATCTCAGCTCT